AATTAATATTATCAAAGCTCAACTAAATTGTAATTAGATTCATTGATATGATTTATTGTAGAAGCTCATTGCTTAACCTTAATATAAAATAATTTTCTTATTATATGTATACCTTATTCACCACCAGAGACTAATCTTCGGTTTGAAAAAGCATTCATCACTCCAACTATAGTCTTCACAATTGATACTTGTGGATTGAATGGGGTGGTTCAAGGGAAAAGTGATGTGGAGAAGCAAGATGACCTTGGAAAGGTTTCTGCTGAAGATCAGCCGAAGAAGGACATTAATGACTCTGCTTATGGGCCGTGGCTGTAGGTTAATCATAGAAGGAGAAATAAAATGAATATGGGACAAAGGAAGAAAGTGTATTTGCCAAAATCTGAAGCTGTCTTCAAAGTTCGGGTGCCTGAGGTTTTATCCTCGGATCTGGACAAGGTTCAAAGAGTAGTTGTTGAAGACTCAATTGTGGAGGATAATGTGAATATAAAAGCTAGGACGGAATTGGTGTTGGATGGGAAAGTTGCGCAAGATGGATGTAATCAGTTTTTTGTGAAAGCTATTGAGAATTTAAATTCAGATGTTGTAGACTCTACTGATAAGGGAAGCGACGTTCCTTTGATCACAGTGAAAGATTTATGCTCCTCTCATAATGTTGCTGATAATATTACTAATAGCTTTAAAGTTCTGGAATCTTTGAGTGAGGAGGAGGCTAATGTGGATATAGCTGCGAATTTGATTAGAATGGAAGTAGAAGAAGGTGAGCTGGAAGATCCAGGAACTTTATTCAGAATTCCTGAGGAGTCATCAATGTCTGTTTTTAATGAAGAGGGTGATAAGGATATCAATGCAGATGGCCATACTAGCTCGGGTATTGCTGCTTCTAGAGGTATTAAACCTAAACTTCTTAAAGAACTTAGGTCTCTTGGACCTTTGAATTCATCCTCTAGGCTTAAGAAGGTGAATTCAATTAATAAAAAAAGAAGCGGGGGTCCTTCCCTCTTATTGAATGATGGTCGGAGAAGATTTTTGAGATTTGAAGATGTCTGGTTATCATACCCGGCTTCAACAACTGTGGTGAGTAAATCCTGGAATAAGTTTTCTTGCGGTGATGCAATGGAGGCACTCAATAGGAAATTCTACGGTTCTTTGAGGGTCCTGCACTTTTGGAGCAAAGCTAAGCATCAAAATCTAATGGATCTTAAGGATAAACTAAAGAAGATTGAAGAACTTCAACTGGAAGAATCTAATGGCATTAATTTTATTGAAGACAAGCTTTTTCTATTAAGGTCCAAAATTAATTATTTGAATGTCACGCTAGCCCGATTGAATAATTGGTGGAGGCAAAGAGCTAAAGTGAGATATTTAAGTGAGGGTGATAGTAATTCGAACTTTTTCCATGCTTTTGCTAATGGGAGAAGGAATGACAATAAGGGGGGCTAACAAAAGAGAATCCTCCTTGTATTTGAAAGAATTTGTTAGGGATTGGGATGTTCTTTTTGTTGGAATAGTCGAAATTAAAATTTCTTCTATTAGTAGAGGAGAGTTTAATAAATTTATGGGAGTTGGTTGGGATTTCTATCTCTTCCCTTCTAATGGGATGTCTTGAGGTATTTTGGTTATTAGGAGGCTGATCTGTCCTCTTTTTCTGTATTGGAAGCTTCAGCTCAATGT